AAGGACTTGAGCACGGCAAATACCGAAAGAACCGCATAGTTCTTTCTCCACTAAATTGCTTTGCGGCACAAATCTTCTTAAAAACATGTAAGCGATCGAGGTAGAGCATTTCTGTCATCTGTAGTACAGTATCTCCGACTTTGAGGAACCAACCACTGCACCACCACCTCATACCATCGTCAAACCAACGGTTTGACAGAATGATTTGACCGTACGCTTTCCTTGATGCGTGCAATGCATATTCAGCAGGATCAGCAGAATTGGGATGAGATACTTCTTGTCGTAACCTATGCGTATAACACTGCTGTTCACGAAACCATATAATGCACTCTATTTTACATGGTTCATGGACTGGAAGCACATAGTTTTCTCGACACGATCCGCAACGCTATGTTCACAGTGGACAAATACGTCTTTCAGGATGTGCTCTATTGCTGTGACTGCTTCGTTTTTTTTCTCCTCTGTCCACAATCGTTCACTGTCCAACAATCTAAACGTCACAATATTAACGTCTAGAGTCACTGGATCCTGAGAAAGTAGCGACATTGACTTCCCTGCCTGCTAGCCGGACACAAACAAATGCCAACATACAGACGACGCAACCTCACCATGGTGACTTATTTATCTCTCTCAATTGGCATGACGATCAACATTTTGTTCTAATCAAACTTTTGAAGCTTTGAAAGACTCGTTCTGACCAGTTGCGCCAAGATCGCTAGAAGCTTCATCGTACTGAAGGCGTTAATCGCAAATATGAACCTCCTTGGCACTGTGCATGAACTCAACATATCAATCACCCTTATCTCCCCTGATATCAAACCATGATATTAATATTCTTGCTTATTTCAACAGAGTAACTATTTTCCAATGCATCCAATCACCGACGCCCGCATGTGCCGACGTAAAGATTTATACATGTTTGGCCAGTGTGTGGATAGTAAAATCTAGGTATAAAAGAAACATCTCAATAAAACTGCCCGTCACCAGCGAATTTATGTCTGCTCATCAAGAGTGAAGAGGTCAAGAAGAAAATTATTATTCCATGAACCAAAATGGCAACCATTCGGAGAGTTTAGCGCTACTTCCCAGGGTCGAATTACTTTAGCAACCTCTACACGGCAGGCCACAGGTGCGTGGGCCTAGATCTACCAAATGACTTCGTTTTCAACACGCAGCTCCTAGGCGACCGTTTCCGGGTTTTTCGGCGTCAGCGTTGGCGTCGGCGTCGCCATCGCCGTCGGCGTCTGCGTAACCACGCTATATTTAGCGGGAAAATTGACGTCATGTGACCTCATCATCCACAAGTGTCCCCGCTAAATTTAACGAGAAAAATGAGGTCAGATGACTTGGTGGCACGTCATCTATGAACAAATTCAGTTTCTTCACTAGATTTACCAGGAAAATTGGCGTTGCGTGACCTTATCACCAAATCAGTTTCCCGCTAAACTTAGCGAGAAAAATCACGTCACATGACTTTCTGTCACGGCACCTATGAACAGATTCAATTTCCCCGCCATATTTAGCGGGGAAAATAGAAAAAGAAACCTCAACCGCAATTCAATTCCTCCCTAAATTTAGCGGGAAATTGAATTGCTGTTGAGGTGACGTTGTGTCTATTTTTCAGCTAAATTTAGCGGCGAAACTGTGGGAAGAGGGTAGGGTACGGAGGAGGGGGATGGGAGGGTGCGCAGGAGGAGGAGTGGAGGGTACGGAGCAGGAGGAGGGGCAAAGGAGGAGGAAGGGCGAGGAGCAGAGGAGGGGATTGTGCAGAAGTGTGGGAGGGAAATACCTTTCTGTCTGTGCTCTCCCCACTCTCCTGCGCTTTTGGGGAGGAGAATGGGAAGATTTGCAGAGGTTTGCAAACGTCTCTCATTTTTGTACGAGAATTTGCGCATTGAAGGCACTTACGAAGGTCACACGCTCGTGCCCTTGCCTTCGCCAGCACTGTAGATGTTTGTGAGAAGAAGCAGAGCCCAGAGCTCGTGCTGCCTGCAACCGGAAGCAGAAAAAGTCATTTCTAGAAAATACACATCATGGACTCAGTGTTGAATATCAGTGAACCGCACCACCGCACGCAATGAATTCTTCCCGGCTGAATAATTCACGATGCACAGACTCATTGATCACCGACACGTGGAGTTTAGTGATAACGATCACGGGATGGCGCCACTGAATAGAGCCCAAAAATGGTGCTTAGAGGAAAAAACAAAATCAAATTTAGGGGTTTTACATGCCAAACTAACGACAGACATCTGGCACACCCCAGCGGAGAACTAAGGATTAATTTAGACCACCTAGGGATCTTTTGACGTGCAGCCGAAAGCTCGGTTACACGGCGCCTTCTACGCAATAAGCCCTTGTTAAATTGCGGGCACCTCTGCCGAGATTGGAACCCGCAACCTGGGGATCTGTAGGCCGGCGCTTTACCTATGAGTTTTGGCTTCTGGACGAATTATCGATTTGACCGAAGCATATGCTTAATCAATTTATTTCGTAAGGAAAATGCACCGAGGATATATATTAGAAGCTATAAATTCAGAAATGCATTTTACATTGCAACGCGGTGTTTATAATTTATTTAAATTTCGAAAAAAGCGTAAAATTGGAAGCTAAAAAATACGGCTTTTTCCTTAATATTTTAGTCCCCGCAGATCAATAATGAACGTAACATTGTAATATGCAATACCGCGAAGCTGTTCTTTTTATTATCTTCCCAGTAAAAGCACCCCGGCACCAAAAGGTTCAATAATTAGCGAGGATGTGGTCCAAAACGTTATTATAAACGATGCACGTGAACTTCTTTTCTTATACCCTCTTAAGGGGATATCACAGGCGAGACCTACATCCTTTGAGGATAGTCGGCTGCGATGTTAGGTATTTCATGCCCTCTGAGCCAGTCATGTGATCAGAAAATTCCTTGTGCGGCTATTTTAGCCGCCGGGAGAGAGAGCCGCTTTGATCAGCGAACCACCCCAGGAGATGCATAAAAGCCGTGATCGAGCATAGCTTACTGAGTTCGTCGCTCGAGGCGCCTCCCGGCGGTAATATGGGCCATTCTTTTGCGTTTCTCGCGCCTCGTGCCCTTCACGCTAGTTCGCTCAACTGTGGCCAAAGTCCCTTGATATCAATCACGCTTTTTGTTCCTTACAACTAAGGCCAACAATTGTCGTTGAATGCGCGAGACACGTGCCATGAGTGAATTTCAGCGGCGCCACTTGCTACCTGATGCCACTCATTTCAGCGCAGCACTGCTGTTTGCTTTGAAGGTTTGCACGAGGTACGGGCCTAATGCATTTGCGATATTGGGCCGGTACTTACAAGACAAACACACACATCAAGGGTCGTTATTCGTTGCCTAATGAGAAACACGTAATAAATAAGGGTTTCTGCGGCCCATATACGTGCCTGGTTTAAGGGTTTGAGTTCTGTCGTCAAAAAAAAAAAAAACGTTCACCATGTTCGCGCTTTTCACCAATGACAAAAAATACGCCAACAGATAATAGTCTGCATGAACACTAATGGCGAAAGTGGCGGAAGCTTCTCATAAACATGGCGGAATATGGCTTACCGGAAGTGAAAAGGCGTCTCGTGAAAACGCCCTATGCTCTACATGCCAACGACGAAACCTTTTTCTTGAAATATTGAGTTCTTTCAGTGAACCATTTATAACGCAAAAAAAAAACAACTTTTTTTTATGAGTTTGCAAGACATAGCGGTGCTTCCCGAATTCTCCCACGCTGGCAAGGAGGCGAGCAGAACGAGACAAATCGTGAGAGGTGACATCGATGGTCCCGAGAGAATGGGAAAGAGAGCGACATATGAGCCCAGAAACGAGAGCAGCCGATAAATTCGTTTTGACGCGACGGCATGAAGCTTTCGTGTGCTTGTCAGCTTGATTTATTTTTATACAGTGCTTTCCCCTAAGTACAAATAAGGTAGAAGAACAATGGGTACAGACCTTGCAGGTGTTGTTTTCATGCTTTCTGGTATGCATTAAAAAGTCACCCGTGATCCCAGCGGGACCGTCGAGAACTGCGCCCATGCCCCGCCGTTCGGAAACGTTCGCAGTGCATAGGACGGTTCTATATAGAATAATGTATTAACTCTTTGGGTTGTACAGGCACAGTGCACTCAGCAACTTATAATCGAACACAGGGCGCAGTGCAGCGCTCAAGCGCAGTAACGACTACAGGTATCTCGTTATTTTAAGAGAAAAAAATGTGCGTTTTCTTCTCTACTCGATGATTGATCAAAGGCTATGCTTTGAGAAAAATAAAGTGAAAAAAACTTGAAATTGACTGAGAAAAACAAAGAATCTGAAATAAGGCGAATCATTGCATTTTAGTATAAATAAACTCGACACGCAAAAAAAAAATAACAAAAACAAACTCCGTAGGTTAGGGGTATGTACATATATGTCTATAAGTATTGAACAAATGCAAATATGGTTGGCTATGTACGAGACTTGGTTAGAAATTATTGTCCATGCTTTTTTTTCTCTCGGAAACAGCTTCGACCAAATGAATGAATTTCATGCAGACTATGCTTACATGTTTCTTTCATACACGTTCTTTTCTACGGGACATGTACTCGACTAAACTGCTTTGCAATTGCACGAAACAAGGAAACCCACGGTTTCCTGTACCAGCTCATTTACTGCTCACATATAGCCATGTCCTAACTCCACAAATCGCGCTCTCGACGTTTCAAATCATATTCCGCACAGTCCATACTTCAGTGGCTCGAAAAAAATGAAAATTTGGCGGTGAGATTTTAGAACTATAGGGTGGCAATGAGGGAATACAATTCAATCAGACTTGGTGAATGCCTCGTTGGTTTTGCGACTTGTGTTAGTACGTGCTGAATCAAGAGAAATGTCGACCTCACGTGCACAGTTTTGATGTGCGCACCATTTGGCATTCGCGCAAGTACTGCTCTTAAGTGTTGCGTTAACTTAATATTCATAATAATAATGTATTTGTCCATTCAATTCTTTTTAGGATTTATGATTATCCAGGACTGGCTATTCCCTACTGACAACTTCTGAATTACGCCACAATGACAATGCTTGAGAGCATATGTCTGGAGACGTTGGTAAGTGGTTTTAACTTTACTCCTTTCCTTCTCCTATAACGTCGTAGGAATTGGAAGCGACTGCGGCGACATGGAGCTAACGTGAAGGAATTGCGCTAGCGTTTACCGACGTATCAACGTCTTTTTTTGTAGCGTAAGCTACACTGGCCGAGGTTGAGCAGTTTCACGTGGCTCCTGGAGAGCCGTGCTGCGCATGCGCGAGGAGCAGTGACGTCACACGGCGCACAGCTGGCGCGCCGCCTCCACGCGCTCCGCCACCGCCGCGCGCACCTCGCCGGTCTGCGCATTCCAGAGGAGGGACGTCATAGCCGCGGCAGTCACACTGGCGCCGGCGCGTGCCCAGCAGTGCGCCTCTGTTGCGCAGTAGCCAAGTCTGACGCTGCGCAGGAGCCGCTTGATAGCACCTCTCATTTTGTGCGCGCGCGCAGAGGCATCAGTGGGGGTACACTGATAGCGGGGAGTTGGCCAAAGTGGTATAGCCATGGAGGAGAGCGAAATTGCTGCTCAGCGACGCAGAAGAGCGGAAAAGCTTAACTCATCGGATCCCGAAATAGTTGCCTGGCAATTAGCGGTGGAGCGTAGGAAGAACGAACAGAAGAAGGCTAAACGTGCTGCGGAGACACCAGAGCAAAGGGAGGAACGTCAAGCAAAGCGGCGTCGCCAGGAGGCTGAGCGACGTGCCCGGCCGCTCACGCTACGTATATCCTGGCATAGCCGATCTAAGCCAGGGAAATTTTTTAAATTAATTTACACGCTCGTGTTTCCTAAATATAAATACCTCTATCAAACAAGATATCTAGAAAACATTTTAATCCAAAGAAGGGGACTTACACTGCTGTAATTAAGTGAAGGCAGCGGGAATCGGTTCACCATCCTAGTAATGAGGATTTTTTTACAATAGTGTGTTTTGCTAACCACGCTAAAAACCGTAAACATCAAGTCGACAAGACAAATATTTTATAAAAAAAATAGGATTTTTAATTCGCCCAATAAATGCTGATATAGAATGTCACAACAAGATATGTGCACAATTGTTTGAGAAATATAGGATTGTATTTAAGCAGCGAACTGAGTGGCGCAAATATTGTTCGAAGAGATTGATGTTTTGTGCAGAATAATTCCCATCTCACGTAATAACAGAACACGAAGGAACGGGTCCCGAAAAACAGATAAGAGGTAATCGTGTGCGTAGTTAGTAGATGTAATCAGCAAAATAATGGTTTTAACGAACAATGTAAGAAGTATGTGCAAAACACGTAAATTCTGGCGCTCTCTTGAGGTTTGATTTTTCTTAGTTGGAAAAATATTTATATGCGCGCAGAACCAAAAAAGCTTCAATCAGTGACCGCGATACGGTTTTCGTTTCAAGCCTCCGTCAAGGAGGGTGTCCCTTTGGTACTACAATACATAACGTTAGTACTGCCTATTACTTGCTATCGAATGGCTTCGCGGAACGGATAGAGTATTCGTCAGCAAAGAATATTTTTATATGTATTAAGATGACTAGGACACCTGAAACTGCATTTTGCTGCAGGTGAAATATGCTCAATACTCACCGTCATTTTATTACAGGCAGGGATGGGCAAAATACATGCAAATATGTATCGAAATACAAATACAAAATACTTCGTCAAAATGTATTTAATTACAAATCTAATTACATTTGCAAAAAAGCATTTAAATACAAGATACAAATACAACCAAATGTATTGGGTCTCCCTCCAAATACTTTTCCAAATACATTTCTCAAAATTTGAGTCAGCGACTTCAAAGCACCTGCAACGGGTTTCTGGTATCTCATTCTAATTTTGCATCGCACACTCGGGAGTTAGTGGGCGAGGCTCTAGTAACGTAATAGAAATATAATCACAACAAAATGCAATCAGCTTGGACGCAATAGGTGAAAGAGTACAGAGCTTCAAGCAGCTTTTTTTTTTTTTTTGTCGATTGCATTTTGGTAAGAGCAACAAAGAACCGAGACGTCCAAGACGCGCAGCACTAGCTACGGATTTGTTTATTGTTGCAACTCGCACCAGCTACGAAAATCTGGACGACCCGCGCATTTAGAATGTTCCAGGAAAAAATATGGATGGAAATCAGGCTGGACAGCATCACAAGTTGTCACAGGCACTTATTTAGCCAGCCTGCCTGTGAACGTCGATTTCGACACCATTCTTGCCCTGGACTAGCACCGTAATCTCAAAGTCACTAAACGCCTGTGATTGATTGAGACACACTGCCTTCGGTGCAGAACGTAGTTTTCTTCCTGCTCTGGACAGTGACAATCAATTTGAGGGATGTATTTTCGCCCACAAAATTGTATTTAATTACTGTTGTTTTTGAAATACTCGCGTTTTAGTATTTAAATACACACGTCAAATATATTACCCAATTTGTATTTAAATACAAATGAAAAATACACAAAGAATGTGAAATACGTATTTCAAATACTTGTATTTGAAATACTGCCCATCCCTGATTACAGGCCATCCCCTTTATTGGTGCCATTAGGTGGACCATATTGCCGCGAGCGCAGCTGGCCAAGAAGGCAGCGCGCTCGTGGTCTAACAGTTATCGCGCGTGCTTTCCACGCTGAAAGCCAGGGTTCGATTCCTGGCCGCGGAGGCGCATTTTTGTTGACTCTGTAAAGTAATGCTCTGGTAAATTCGAGAACCATGTTGCTTGTTCGAGGCCAGAATGTTCTACGCACCAACCTTCTATGCCGAACGATCCAGAAACCCACCAGGATACATAAGGGATTCCGCAAGGCGAGCGGGGTCAGTCTCGCCCCAGCGTTTGACTCAGCTGTTACGCCGACTTCGACGCCCGCGACGCTCTGTTATTATCTTTTGTACCCTTTTATTTTTGAGCACAAGTTCGCCCCATTAAACGTTTCAGTTTCTCCAGTTATTCTTTGTTTTCTCGCCTGTTTATTTGTGAAATTTTGGTGGAGGTGCGGGGTACGGCATGCCCGTGCAGCGTTCCCCTCCAAGAGCCCGCAGTGCAAGTCCGGTTCCAAGCCCAGTAAGGAGACCACTCCCCGCGGAACCCGAAACTCGGACCAGCCGGCGCATCAAGGGAGAGAATCCTGAATATGGTTCGTTACTGGACAAGCCCAAGCCGAAGAAGACGACGATGGCCAACCAGTCGCAGACCCCGGTCGCTCCTGCCTTCATCTACCTGCCCGTCGCACCCCGGACTCCGACGCCATTCCACGGGGACGCCCACGAAGACGTCGAGGACTGGCTTCAACAGTACGAGCGAGTGGCCCAGCACAACCGATGGACGGACGACCAGCGCCTGCAGAACCTTTACTTCGCGCTCGAAGGAACGGCCAGGCACTGGTTCGAGAATCGGGAGACTTCGTTGATCTCGTGGACCGCCTGCAAGGATGAGTTGAGGCGAACTTTCACTAACCAGTATCGACGGGAAAGGGCCGAGGACCTTCTTCGAATGAGAACCCAGGGCGCAAACGAGACCATCACCAGTTTCGTCGAGGATGTCCTGCGCCTGGTCACTCGCGCCGACCCTCAAGCCACCGACGAAAAGAAGTTGCGGATCCTGATGCGAGGCGTATGAGATGACATCTTCGGAGGCCTCGTCCGCAACCCGCCGACCACCGTCAAAACGTTTGTAACAGAGGCGACCAACATTGAACAGGCCCTGCAAGCACGAGCCGCTCACTTCGATCGAGCTCCTGCCGTCGCTGCACCGACGCTGTCAAGCTGCGCCCTCGGCCCCAATATTCCGAAGATCCGATAAATAGTCCGGGACATCGTCCTCGAAGAACTGAAGAAGCTGATACCTGCCGCCGAACGTCCAGCTTCACTCTCGATCGCCGAGATTGTTCGAGAAGCGGTCCAGCAAGCGTTCCAGCCAGACGTTCTCGCCGACGCCGCACCGGAACCACCAGCTGTGACCTATGCCGCCGTTGTTCGTCGTCCGCAGCCTCCTATTGCTCGGCAGTACCCAGCTGCACCCCGACGAGAAGTCTCTTCGCCGCAGTACGCGCCGCGCCAAGAGCAGCGTGGACTTCGAAAGACCGACGTGTGGTGCACGGATGACGGACGCGCGGTGTGCTTCCACTGCGGGGAGGCTGACCACGTTTACCGGAGGTGCCCCTACCGCCAGCTCGGCCTGCGAGGATTTGCTCCAAACGACCGCCGACCTCGTTTTGGAGAACGTCGAAGGGACATCGAGGAATACCTCCGTCGCCCTCCGTCACCAGCGCCCACCGCACCACGAGGTTCCCGTTCTCCATCCCCCCGACGTTCCGCGTCGCCTTTCCGTCGGTCGCGCCGTGACAGCCTGTCCCCCCTATCTCGTCGGGAAAACTAAGTGCGGCAACGCCTGGAGGTGCCGTTGCCGAAGACGGCCCGAGTAAAGAGCCTCCAAGAACGCCGGAGCGCTCCCACTCTCCCGACGCCACGCATCACTACGACGCCCCTGCAACGGTGTCCAACAACCTAAACGTCGTCATCGACGGCCACGACGCATCGGCACACGTGGACACCGGAGCAGACTACTCAGTCTTGAGTGGGAGGCTCTCCCGCCGCCTTCGAAAAGTCATGACGCCGTGGGAAGGACCCCAAATACGAACCGCCGGAGGACATCTCATCACACCAGTCGGGAGATGCACTGCTCGCGTCGAGATCCACGGTGAAACGTGCCCTGTCAAGTTCGTCGTTCTGCAAGACTGTTCGAGGGACGTTATCCTCGGAATGGACTTTCTCTGCGAGTATGGCGCCGTCATCGACCTCGGAACAAACCGGCTGACGCTACGAAAACCTGCTCCACCAGCGGAGGAACCCCAAGCGACGTCACCCACGGTCCGAGTCCTCGCAAACCACGTAAACCTACCACCGCGGTCGAGTGTTTTCGTACTTGTCGGGATCGATGAAGCTTCCTGTGGCGAAGTTCTTCTCGAGGTAAGCCTCCAATTGCTCCTGAGAAGAGGCATAGGCGTCGCAAGGGGAGTAGCTGACCTTCAGGATGGGCGGACTGTGGCTCTCGTGACGAACTTCCGAAACGAAACGCAACACCTCACGAAAGGTGCAGCCGTGGGCCACGTCGAGGAACTCCGAAACCCCGCCGAAATCACCGCGATTACTGACGAATCCTCGCCGCCCCAGCAAGACAGTACGTCGCCAGGGCAGCTCGACATTGACCCTAAGCTTCCGGGCCCTAAACGACGTCAGCTGGTTAACCTCCTCGCCGAATACGGCGACTGCTTTGCGGCGTCGTCAAAGGTATGCCAGACCGCGGTTGCCAAGCACCGCATCGTTACCGAGGACGACGCGCGCCCTGTGCATCGATCGCCGTACAAAGTCTCCGCTAAGGAAAGGAAGGTGATCCAGCAGCAAGTTCAAGAGATGCTGAATGACGACATAATCCAACCTTCAAGCAGTCCATGGTCCTCTCCAGTTGTGCTGGTTAAGAAGAAGGACGGAACTCTTCGGTTCTGCGTGGACTACCGGCAGCTCCACACGGTTACAAAGAAAGACGTCTACCCACTCCCCCGCATCGACGACACTCTAGACCGGCTGCGCCACTCTCGATACTTTTCATCGATGGACCTGAAGAGCGGCTACTGGCAAATCGAGGTCGACGAACGGGACCGAGAGAAGAGAGCCTTCGTCACGCCGGATGGACTGTACGAGTTCAAGGTGATGCCCTTCGGACTATGCACGCCGCCAGCAACTTTCCAGCGTGTCATGGAGACCGTACTGGCAGGACTGAAGTGGCAGAGTTGTCTCGTCTACCTTGACGACGTCGTAGTATTTTCAGCTGACTTCGACGAGCACTTGAGACGACTCCGAGCTGTTCTTCAAGCCATTCAGACCGCCGGGCTCACTCTCAAGCCGTCGAAGTGCCGGTTCGCCTATGACGAACTGAAGTTCCTAGGATACGTGGTTAGTAACGAAGGCGTCCGCCCAGGCTCCGAGAAGACTCGCGTCGTCGCGGCATTTCCAGCGCCGAGAGACAAGAAGGCCGTGCGAAGATTCCTCGGACTTTGTGCCTACTATCGACGCTTCGTTCGGGATTTCGCAAGGATTTCCGCACCGCTCAGAAACCTCACGAAGGACGCCGAGAAGTTCGAATGGGTTGAGAAACAGCAGCAGGCATTCGACGATCTGAAGCGAAGACTTCAGACTCCTCCTGTTTTAGGACACTTTGATCAGGATGCGGAAACCAAGATTCACACGGGCGCTAGTAATGCAGGACTTGGAGTGGTACTGGTTCAAGTGCAAGAAGGCGCCAAGCGAGTCATCGCCTACGCAAGTCAGATGCTGTCCAAATCGGAGAGAAATTACTCCACGACTGAAAAGGAGTGTCTTGCGGTCGCCTGGGCAATCACGAAGTTCCTCCCGTACTTGTACGGGAGCCCGTTCCGTGTAGTCAAGGGACCACCGCTCGCTCTGCTGGCTTGCTAACCTGAAGGGCCCGTCAGGGCGCCTCGCTCGATGGAGCCTCCGACTGCAAGAGTTCAACATGACACTGGTCTATAAGTCCGGCCGCAAGCACAGCGACGCCGACTGCTTGTCCAGAGCCCCCGTCGAAACCCCTTCCGGCTGCAGTGACGACAATGACGACGAGAGCTTCCTAGGAGCAGTAAACGCCGACGACATGGCACGACGTCAGCGGGACGATCCTGAGCTGCGCGCATCAATCGAGCACCTGGAAGGGGGTGGGGGTACCGTGCCACGTGTCTTCTCAGGAGTACTGCCGACCTTCGCCATTTGACAAGGTGCACTCTACAAAGAAAACTTCGGCGACAACAGCACACCGTGGTTGCTGGTAATCCCGACCGACCTTCGGGAGGAGATCTTTTAAGCATGTCATGACGACCCGACGTCGGGACACCTCGGTTACAGCCGAACACTGGCCAGTATTCGTGAAAAGTATAACTGCCAAAGCTCCCCAAAGCCGTCCACCTCTACACCCGATCGTGCCACGAGTGCCAGCGACGTAAGAAACCGCCAACGAAGTCGGCAGGTCTCCTGCAGCCGATTGCTCCCCCGACTGTACCGTTCCAGCAGATCGGAATGGACCTACTTGGCGCCTTTCCGCCGTCAACGTCGGGAAACCGCTGGATAATCGTCGCCACAGATTATCTCACGCGGTACGCCGAAACGAAAGCCCTCCCTTCAGGAACTGCTGTGGTTCCTGAAGGGAGCCACAGCAGTTCGGATTAAGTTTTTCATCGAGTCCATCGTCCCCCGGCACGGCGCTCCCGAAGTTCTGATTACAGATCGCGGATCATCGTTCATGGCACAGCTGACCCAAGAAGTCCTGCGTCTCAGCCACACCAGCCATCGTCGCACCACGGCGTACCACCCGCAGACCAACGGGCTCACGGAAAGACTCAACAAGACCATCGCCGACATGATTTCCATGGACGTCGACGTGGAGCACAAGACATGGGACGAGGTGCTGCCGTACGTCACCTTTGCCTACAACACAGCCGTACAAGAGACCGCCGGAGTGACACCCTTTTAACTGGTGCATGGGCGCAAGGTAACTACAATGCTGGACGCTATGTTGCCCCACGAACGGGCTGTCGACGTAAGCGACGACGGCCAGGTGGTTGCTCAAAGGGATTAAAGCCCAACAACGCGTTGACACTGGCCGCTACAACCTTCGCCGTCGGGACGTCCACTTCCAGCCCGGAGACAGGGTTTGGGTCTGGACTCCCATTCGTCGCCGTGGTCTCAGTGAGAAGCTTCTTAAACGCTACTTCGGACCCTACAAAACCATCCGACGCCTGGGCGATCTGAACTACGAAGTTCTACCCGACGGAACGCGCGCATCTGCAAGACGCCCGCCACGACCCGAGATAGTGCACGTCGTCCGGCTCAAGCCGTACTACGAACGATAGAACTCTGGACTTTAGTCAAAGAGTGAACTGTTAAGTGCGACTCGCGAGTCTGCTATTCTTTTGCTGGGGATCTGTGTTCTCGTTTTGTGCTGCATCGGGTCGATGCACTTTTTTAAAGGGGGGATAATGCCGTGAGCGCAGCTGGCCAAGAAGGCGGCGCGCTCGTGGTCTAACGGTTATCGCGCGTGCTTTCCACGCTGAAAGCCAGGGTTCGATTCCTGGCCGCGGAGGCGCATTTTTGTTGACTCTGTAAAGTAATGTTCTGGTAAATTCGAGAACCATGTTGCTTGTTCCAGGCCAGAATATTCTACGCGCCGAACCTTCTACGCCGAACGATTCAGAAACTTACGATGATACATAAGGGATTCCGCAAGGCGAGCGGGGTCAGTCTCGCCCCAGCGTTCGACTCAGCAGTTACGCCGACTTCAAAGCCCGCGACGCTCTGTTATTATCTTTTGTACCCTTTTATTTTTGGGCACAAGTTCGCCCCATTAAACGTTTCAGTTTCTCCAGTTATTCTTTGTTTTCTCGCCTGTTTATTTGTGACAATATGGAAGGTACGCGTCTAGCGGGAGATCACTCCGTCACTTTGAATCACGAACTGAGGTGTTCTTGAAGTTTAACGAAACTACCGATAAATGCATATTAGCTTTAGGTATGAAAAGCATAGCTTTATTTGCAGCAAATTAACAAACAGGTCGATCATAAAAGCGACAAAAAGCAATATGAAAATTTTAGTCGAACTTAATCTCACCGAAATCTTCGCCATTTCTTTCCTTCTTCGGTGCAGAGTGCAGCTGCTGGGAACCTCCCAAAATACATAGCCACAGTCTGCTTGATGATGGCCCTGTTCTTCTGTATTCGCTCGTATTGGCCATGGGGTTATAAGAATGCGAGAGCGCCCTTGCCTCCAGGACCGTGGGGAATCCCATTACTGGGAAACCTTGCTATCCTGAGGAAAGGTTTTTATTGCGGGGAGTGCATCGAACTGGCCAGAAAGTACGGACCCGTATTCAGGTGAGTTGAAAAAAATCGGGAAGTCAAACGGGACTTTGGAGTTTCTACTGACAACGCGCACTCTGTTACGGGTTGCGTAAGTGCCATGAAACTGGTTAAACATTTCGGGGGTTAAAAAAAAAATATTAAAAGAGGACGGTTTTAAAATTTTATACACGAGGCAAATAAATTTTCCGAAATATCTGAATATAGGTCCAGCATGACAATCCTTGTTTGTCTAAATTGTTTATAACTTCGTAAACGGCATACGTTACAGCAGTAGTGAATAATGTTTTAGATGAAAAAGTAAGCCCTGCTTGCTGTGATGGGTGCTTTCAGCCTGTACGATTAAATTATGCTTGGAAGTTTTGAAGCTTACATTAGTCAGAACGAGCTCCAATGTATGTCCGCCGTAGTGGTGTCGTGCTATCTCTAATATATACTCGTCTCGGTTTTTAATAAATAGAAGAAACATGATAAGCCAAAATGTTATTCCCACGTCTTAACTCTACCGCGTTAGTCAACGGGTTCATTCGGTGTTTAGTGGGACCGCACTATTCAGTACTTTTAGCCTATCGCACTATGGTACGCATGTCGCAAAGGTGCCTGAAGATGGTAGACTTCGTGTATTATAATTTCAGTGAACAAACTCACTTGAGTAAAAGTGTTACTAATAAAGAACTTGAAATCATTAGCTACGGTGTCTTTCTGCTAACGTATGGCGTCTGATTGGCGCTACAGCTAAAATACGGCGGCACGTAAAATTACAGGTGCCCACACAACGGGCACTTCCCTCAATTACGGGAATCGCAGACGAGTTTTCTGAGCCAGGTGCGATGCTCTCTGTGGTTTGTGCCAATTGCCCGTACACAATTCTTTCATGCGCACAAACAACAAACCATGACACGCTTGTTTTATTGTTACGTGTCTCTTTATCATGACATCTATTAAGTGTTCGTTTGGTGCCTTTACATTCCCACTTGTTAACTTCATCATCGCTGAGTAAGTGTTCACTATAAGGTTTTCTGTGTACCCTCTTTTTTGGTAGCAGTTGTGCATTTCTTTTGTTTTACTTTTTATTGATTTAGAGCTTACTACATGCTGGTGTTTGTGACCATGCATGATATGTAACGTGTTTTTAAGCTCTGATAGCGTGATTACGTTTCCTTTTATACTTGATAAAATTACAACATTGTGCGACTATGATGGCATTCTATGTGCCCCCCTCCTTCCTCTATGTAACGTCCCTGTGGGCCTTTAGAGGTAATTGAAAAATAAACAACAAAATATAACTACGCGCATTAATTCGATTTGCCAATATATCTTGATACCAGAACTGTATGCAGTGTTGTTAGCAGTAGACCATATTAGACTGAAGAGAACAGTAAGGTCGATTACATATGAAGACTCGCAAAGTGTGATCACTGCAATTGGTACCACTGTAAACAAAAAAACTTGTGCAGCTTGTACGTGCAAGGATTAATCGTTTATTGCGGAATGGACATCATGTAATATTTTACTGGGTTCTATGTCATGTAGGTGTACTGGGTAATGAAAAAGTTGATAGGCTCACTCCTCTTTCTAGAAACTTTCGGCAGCTAGCAGCGTCCTTACCTTGCCAAGATATTAAACCGGTCGTTAGGGCTTCAATTTTTTAGTAATGGCAAACAGATTGGGGACAACGAATCAAACAACAAGCTTCACTTCACAAAGCCCATTCTTGGATTGTGGGAAAGTGCCTCTTCATAGGATCCGATTGAATGAGGTCTTATTATGTGGCCTTCGCATAAACCATTTCAATATAACCCACAAATATCCCCTGTTCGGAGGAGAACTACAACCCTGCATACACTGCGGGGATGTTGTTTCCATCCTACATATTCTATGGATTTGTTGTGGTCTTGATGCAAAACGACGGCGTCGTTTTTTCCAAATTGTTTGGTTATCATGTACTTTTATGTGGGATTTATTTTATTTCTTTGTTTTTTTATCTGCCAAGTGAATTTTGTGATTTTTTCCTCACTTCCATAGATAATTATTATTTTAGTTGTTGACCTACCTCCCGCCCGTATATATTGCCCGAAAGGAACTTTAGAGCAAAGAAATGAAAAAAAAAAGAAAAAATAGACGAAGACAATTAAGATTGCTTACGTGTAGAAATGCGAAAGCATAAAAGCCTCTTCACATATGCAGCGGAGGGCTACAAGCATAGCGGTGACCTTGCACTAAGCGCGTGCTGACGGGACCGTTCTCCAGCTTTGTATCGCACCGAAGCCGGAGGCAGCGCGGCTTTGACGGCGCCCCGGCGGTGACATCACGCTCCCTCACTGCGCAGGCGCGACGCCCCCGCCGTCTTCCGTGACGATGCATCTGCGTTGCTGTGCTTTTCTTTGTGTTTTATTTCTGAGGCGCGTCCGCTTTGACCTTGAGCGACGCGTGCTTGATGACATACTTTTAGGACTATCGAGCACAACGCCGACGCCGCCTTTTCGCTTAGTAGGACACATGAGGCTTTCTCCTTAATAAATACATAAATTATCCCATTTCAATGTGTAGTTTTATTTCAAACACTAGCTTTTTACAACAGCTTAAATACCCATTATAATGACAAGTGACATCCCTTTCAAAACAATATATGAATGAACAACCCAGTTTAGATGCACTTTGACCGATGTAGCATTTTGCGCCGTAAAGCCTCACATCAATCAATCAATCAATCAATCAATCAATCACTCAATCAATCAATCAACCGGTCAGTCAGTCAGTCGGTCAATCAATCAATCAATCAATCCATTAAAATAAAATATAGCAACAAGACGTAACCCATGGATAACGTGTGTCAGTATCCATACAAAACGGAAAATTAATAGACTTCTAAAACAAACAAAGCTTAAAAAAGCGCAACGATAAAACAAAAAATGAAAAACCTCATTAAATACTTCGGCTGCCGATTAAAACCTGCCAATTAAAGTTTTTGCAACGAAGCTTTGCATTCATTCATAAGAACAGTACCAGATAAATTTTGCAGATAGATCAGCATAAGTACAAAAATACGCCATGACACAGCAACAGAATACGGACAAAGCTAACAACATCAACGACAGTTTTCGTTCGGTCTTCAGACAAGATAACAGCGTTTTGCCCGACGGTACACAAAGTATATAGGAGCGCAATGTAAATGGCAGAACAATATCTGAACCAGACATACTTAACGTTCGTCTTAATCTTTATACTAAATATTGTGCTGGAGCAAAAAAAAAAAAAAAAAAAAAAAACAATTGCATACGCATTTTTGAAGAAGTATGACAAATGGGTTTCAAATTAATTATCAGTAATCTTTCGGAAAACACTCGAGCTGAGTAATCTAAAATATCGCCTGACTGAAAAAATCTAAAATAATTCCCATCTACAAATTTGGCGACAAAAGCAGTACATCAAAATCTACGTCAATCTCTCTAACATCCACTTGTTGCAACTTGCAAGTTACTAGATCAAATAATATTAAACCAAATAAGTTCTTTTATTCAAGAAAAAACATCTTAAGTAATCCACCAGCATGGTTTCTGATCCTGCTTATCGGCAATCACACAATGAATTGAAAGCGTGCACGATTTCCTACAGTCATCAATCACAGATGTCGGTTGGACGTCATTCGTTTAGATTTTTCGAAGGCATTCGACAGAGTCTCCCATACTAATACCCGTGCCACACGGGCTACTCGAATGCAATTTACAACGAATGACATTCGTGTGATCCACGAATCGGCTCGCGATCTGTCGCGCGTGGAACGCCCCACGCTCGGAGGGTCGCGCGCTGATTGGCCGATCGTTCAAATGTCATTCGATGGAAATGGCATTCGAGTTGCCCGTGTGCCACGGGCATTAGCTTCTTTTCAAACTAACTGCCATTCTAGGCGACGGGCTATTTCTTGATTGGGTTAAAGATGATCATACCGGGGGGGGGGGGGGGGGGGGGGCGATCTTAATAGGCATATATTAACGGGGAGAGTTCAACCATGAAGCATGTATGTTCCAGCGTCACTCGGGGCTCAGTACTTTCTCCTCTTGTTTCCTGCTATATAATAACGACTGTATAAATCTCTCGTTCACTCCAAATTGGGGTATGCTTCTTCTATTAGGGACCCTGTCAGTCTAATCTAATTAATGTTCTGGAAACGGTCCAAAACCTTTCTGCTCGTTTTATTCCAGGGAACTATCCCCGAACAGCAAGTGTAGGCTCCATGAAAATCCCTTTGTTCCTGCCTAACCTCTCTCTCCAGCGTAAAGTTGCTTGTTTATGTCTTTTTCACAAGATCTATCGTGCTAACCCGTACTTAAAGCAATGTCTTTTTATCCCACCATCCTACATTCCACCTCGCATCGAACAATACATCAAGTTTGGAATTTGTAAATGTAATATCAACGCGTTTCTACAGTCATTCGTCCCTGAAACTTCTTTGGAATGGAATCACCTTACGACTTCCGTAATTTATATTGTTGATACCAAAATATTTAAAAAAACGCTATAAACACTCTCTAGTATCCTGAGCCTCCATGATACCTTATGTGCTCTCCCCCTTTGTTTATTTTTGTGTTATTTTGTTACTCCCACGTCCTTCTTTAATGCCGATTGGCTCTGAGGGTATTTAAATAAATAAATAAATATCAAGCTGTTTGCCGACGACTGTACAATCTGTCTTGAAATAACAAATCTGTCAAAACAGATAAAACTGTAAATTGCATTAAATTAAATCTCAGGGTGGTCTAACGACTGGCAAACGACTGGCATTTAATACAGTTACAACTGTTGCCATGACAATACACAGAAAAGTATACTCATGTGCCTTTACAATTAACAAAAATATAAATAAAATTCACAAATACGCACGAACAAAAAGGGCACTAACAAAACTGGTGTATACGAAGGAGACTAAAATATGCCTCGCGCCATACTAAACTTTTAGCCTATAAAACCCTAATCCGGTCCGTGCTTGAATACGCTAATCCTGTTTCGTCCCCCTTCACAAAAACTAATATCCAAAAATTAGAGAAGATGCAAAAACTTGTGAGGTTTATAACAAATAAATCTGGCAGGCATGAATCACCCATAGAACTGACTCGCAGATTGCGTATCCTGTCAGTAGAAAACAGAGCTAAGGTGGGAAGGTCAAAACTAACGTACCAAATAGTAAATGACATGGCAAAGACAGAAAATAGCTAAATACCTCATTCGAAAGAAAAGGTGAACCCGATCAAACCATGGGAATTTATTCGAAATATCCAGCCTAAAATTAATTTGCTTCAAATTTTAGGTTCTTTCAGATTGCCGCTAAGGAATGGAAAAGTTTACCCCAACATGCTGTCCATGCTAGATCGCTCTCACTTTTTTCCAGAGCGATATTGGAGTACTTCTAAGATAACACAACTAGGTATTTTTTTAGATATTTTAGAGCATGTATTTTGTTTGTGGTTGCGCACCTGTGATTGTAACAACCCTACAAAAATCCAAAAATGAGGATTTGTAGTGTTGATAAATAAATAAATAAATAAATAAAGACCTACTAACATAAGGACAGCAGAAATTGTAGGCAAATGTGTCATAAAACAAATCACAGTGCAATGTTAATTAAAAAAAGTGTGCATGGCAAATGAAACTATCACATTTAGTGAAAAACAGCAAAGATAGTGCAACCTCTATTATAGAAGATAAGAAAAGGGATTATATTATTAATAAACATCGGTATAAACAAACACATAGTACCACAGTCGGAGATGTATCTAAATCGCTTGTTTCAGTGAGACACTATGCGTGAAAAATATATTTCAAATACTCTATTTGGAAGAAACATGCGATAATCATTTTAGGTGCGTAACTTCTTGTTTGAATGTGTGGGTTTTTGTGTGTGTCTGTGCGTACGCGTACACGCGCGCGCCCGTGTGCATTTCTTTTAAGGGTATAAACTATCATGAGTATTTTTTTATATTACCGCTTGCAAGATTGCAAGAGTAGTATAAATGAATACGTAAATTCTTCAATTAAAGGTATTTTACTCGTCATTTTTTTTTATCTACCAACTTTAGCTTTTGCCGGTGAACAATCATGAAAATCAATTTATGTAATTTTGTTTGCATGTCTACCGCGTTGGTCACCGTTCATTTTTTTTAAGCCTCGTTTTTTTTAATTTTAATCTCCAGGGAAAGTATAGGAAATGGGGCCTTCCGAATTACCTACGCTAACATTTCTTTTCAGACTCAAACTGGGTGTTCAAAGCATCGTCTTAGTGAACGACTTCGATCTGATAAAAGAGATCCTTTCTAAGAAGGAGTGTCTTTACCGTCCACGGAGCTGGATATTCAAGGCCACTGGGGGTTGGTAATTCATTCGTTTCGCTATTAGTGCAGCCTTTTGGCTAATCCAAACTTTGCCAACTACATATCGTGTCCTCGAAATGACTGCACTTTTGCATGTTAGGGGGGGGGGGGGAATGGTATAAAAAAAAAGATTATTTCGTATTTTGTAACATTCTGTTACCATCCCCCCTCCCCCCACCTATGTCATGATGTTCCGCAAGCATAATTATTGGTTCTGTTGTGACACTGACTTTAACATAAAACAGGGTATTTTTTTGCACCTTTTAAAAATATAAGTGACCTGGTGTATAAATCACTGGCCGTTTCTGACCATGTATAAAACAGCCCGAAATGCTTCAACCATTGATTACCCAATTTACATGAGGCAGAAGCACACACCTCTACTTGAGACGTGCGTTTGTCCCCGTTTAGAATTATTTGTAACGTTAACCAGCTCATCCTGTTTAATAACTTCACCTTCGAACATGTTGCATTTTTTGCTTGCAGGAGTAGGCTCTCTCAACGCAAAGGCATGGCAGGAAAACCGTCGTTACTGCGTGAAGGCACTACGAGAACTTAGCACTGGGAGAAAATCTATGATGAATCATATAAGGGTCAGTACATTTCCGGCCTAGTTCTCTAAGATCAGTAGCTTCATTGTGTTACACTAAGCTTGTTATAGTAAAGAAATGAGCATTTGAGATGATTTACGTGGGGTTGGGAATATACCGTCACACATATTTATGCACGTTTCTTTACCTAAGACATATCTTACAAGAAAATCTTAACCACATCACAATTTCTCATTTATTTATTTATTTATTTACCCTTAAAAGTTCAGAAAGAGGCAATAGAAATATGAAGTATAGCTTGGTTGTTCTACCGCGTTTAGTGCATAATTTATTATTTCTTTTGTAGCTGCAATTTAATGCACTTTTACTGAACTCATTTTTGTTCCGCTTGGAACAAAATGGAAATAGTATCTCGTGGGTACAATTTAGTTGGCCTTTCCGCATACGTGATCCGGAGGAATGACACGAAGCTGACGGTTTCATGAACTAGAAACGACATTTAATTTGGACGTGGAAAACTGGAGTGTCAAAAATGCTCCTGGGGCTTGACCATCGGCCGTCGAGTCCCCACGCGCAACCTCAGTGCTGCCCTATCAAGGCGGCGCGGACGTGTTGCGCGTGACCTGGCGCCCTTGGTCACTACGCAGGACAAAGCATGGCTGGATGGCCCGGGAGTAGGGCCATCCAGCCCTTGACCGACGAAATGGGATTGCTAGAAGGGGTCTATTGCAATATCTAATATTACACAAATTTAGCGGGGTAGCCAGAATTTAGAGCTATATATAAAGGGGAGGAGTGTAAATATTTCAGGGCTAGAATTGGCGCAAGCTGCTGCCCGATACAAAGTGTAGAGTCAATACCATCTATTCATGGGTGATTTCATCTCAAATCGTGCAAAAAAAATGATTGGTCCTGAAAAAGTTCTGAAAAGCATGTTGGTGGAAAATAGGTGACTAGAACAAACCTGTGAATCAGAACTACGGAGCGTTTCTTGTTCTTGCGTTCTGGGCTTCGAAAGGGCAGAAAGGGTGCGTCTTGCCATTTTTGCAGTTTTCACGATTGGCACCATTTGGAATCTCGAGACTTTCGGATTATTTTTTTCACAACAGGTGTGACTTTTTTTGCTGCTTTAACACTTCGCATAGGAGGGTTACAGTTCTGTAGGAGTGCATTTTTTATCTTAGTTTATCAAATAAAAATTCCTAAACCTTTCACCTTTGACTATAATAGGCCAAGTTTCATTCGACCTAGTTTTAGATGTATAATTTTTGAAAGCATAAGATAGATATCAAATGAAAGCTTGTATCTAAGTTAATTTAGAAATTATTGTTAAATTATATATAATTTATATTGTCACGAAGGAAAAGTGATGAGGCGGCGAATAACGGAGTAAACTGAACGTATAATCGGGCGAACTTGTGCCCAAAAAGTAAAAGGAGAAAGAAAGATAGCAACAGAGCGTTGCGGGCGTCGAAGGCGGCGAAGCAGCAAGATCGAAAGCTGAGGCCAAAACTGACTCGACAAGGTCGCGGGCGGCCTCTTATCTAAGGTGAGTCACTATCTCGAAGATTCGGCGGAGAAGGTTCAAGCGTAGCGCGCTCGGGGCGAGAATGAACACGCACTTTCTGGAACAACAAAAGCAAGGATAAACGATAGAAGTTACGTCTGGAACATGAATAAACGAGAACTTTCTAGAGGCTCGTGATCGAGCGTTGCTTTCTCAGCCCTGCGCGCGGCATTATCCCCTCCTTTAAAAGTGCATCGTCCCGATGCAACATAAAACACAAAGCCACAACAAAAAGATAGCAGAATCGTGACTCACAGTTCACGGTTTGACGAGAGCTCAAAGTTCTATCGTTTGTAATACGGCTTAAGGCGCACGACGTGGACTACTTCGGGTCGTGGTTGGCGTCGTCTTGATGGTCTAGTTCCGTCGGGAAGAACCTCATAGTTTTAAGTCACCGAGACGGCGAAGAACCTTGTAGGGTCCAAAGTAGCGCTTCAGAAGCTTCTCGCTGAGACCGCGGCGCCGTATTGGTGTCCAGACCCATACCCGGTCTCCGGGTTGAAAGTGGGCGTCACGCCGGCGAAGATTGTAGCGGCGGGCTTCGACATGTTGCTGGTCTTGAATTCGTAGTCTGGCTAGCTGGCGGACCTCTTCTGCCCGTTGAGCAACTACCTGGGCGTCATCGCTCCCGTCGTCGACTGACGCGTGCGGCAACATAGAGTCTAGCATAGTCGTCACCGCCCGACCATACACCAGCTGGAAGGGCGTCACTCCTGTGGTCTCTTGCACTGCTGTGTTGTAGGCGAACGTGACGTAGGGCAGCACTTCGTCCCAGGTCTTGTGCTCCACGTCGACGTACATGGAGACCATGTCGGCGATTGTTTTGTTGAGCCGCTCCGTCAACCCGTCTGTCTGCGGATGGTATGTCGTTATTCGACGGTGTTCCGTGTGGCTTAGACGAAGGATCTCTTGGGTCAACTGTGCCATGAATGATGACCCTCGGTCTGTGATCAGTACTTCGGGGGCGCCATGCCGCAGGACGATGGACTCGATGAAGAACTTGGCGACTTCGACCGCAGTCCCCGACGGCAGGGCTTTCGTCTCGGCGTAACGGGTAAGATGATAATCGGTGGCGACGGTTATCCGGCGGTTCCTCATCGTCGACGGTGGAAAAGGACCCAGCAGATCCATTCCAATTTGCTGGAAGGGCTTGGTTGGCGGGGTAATCGGCTGGAGGAGACCTGCTGGCTTTGACGGCGGTTTCTTGCGTCGCTGGCACTCATGGCACGATCGTGTGTAGAGATGCACGGTCTTCGGAAGCTTTGGCAAGTGGTACTTGTCATGAATCCGGGCAAGGGTCCTGCTGTAGCCGAGATGTCCAGCCGTTGGGTCGTCGTGGCACGCTTGAAAAATTTCTTCTCGGAGGCTGTTGGGGACAACCAGTAGCCAGGGAGTTTCGCTTGTTCCGAAATTCTTTCTGAAGAGCACGCCTCCCCGAAGGACAAAGCTCGGCAGGTCCCGAGAAAAGACCCGTGGGACGGAGCCTCCTCGAACTTCGAGGTGGTCGATCACGGAGCTAAGTTCCGCGTCGTCGCGTTGCAGTGCCCGCATGTCGGTAGCGTTAACTGGGCCTAGAAAATGGGAGTCGTCATCGTCGTCGGCGCCGGAGATTGGAGGTTCAACTAGAGCCTTAGACAAACAGTCAGCGTCATTATGCTTGCGGCCGGACTTATGCACAATGGTTACGTCGAATTCGTGCAGTCGAAGGCTCCAGCGGGCGAGGCGTCCGGACGGATCCTTGAGGTTTGCGAGCCAGCAGAGTGCGTGGTGGTCTGTGACCACGCGAAACGGGATCCCATACAAGTACGGGCGGATCTCGGTTATCGCCCAGACGACAGCAAGACATCCTTTGTCGGTCGTTGAATAATTTTGTTCTGCCTTAGACAGCGCCCGGCTTGCGTAAGCGATTACTCTCTCTGCCCCTTCTTTTCGCTGAACGAGTTACGCACCGAGACCGGTATTGCTGGCGTCCGTGTGGATTTCAGTCTCCGCCGACTGGTCAAAATGTCCGAGGATAAGGGGCGACTGGAGCCTTCGCTTGAGTTCGCCGAACGCTTGCTCTTGCTCCTCTCCCCACTGGAACTGCACGTCGTCTTTCCTCAGATGCGTCAGCGGTGCAGAAATTTCCGCAAAGTCACGAACGAAACGTCTGTAATAGGCGCACAGCCCAAGGAATCTTCGAACGGTTTTCTTGTCTGATGGCTTCGGGAACTCGGCGACAGCGGACGTCTTTGCGGGATCAGGGATAACACCCTCAGTACTCACGACGTGGCCCAAGAATTTCAGCTCACCATAGGCGAACCGACACTTGGAAGGCTTGAGGGTCAGCCCAGCAGCCTTGGAGGCCTGTAGCACGGCTCGCAGTCGTTTCAGGTACTCGTCGAATTCGCTTGCGAACACCACAACACCGTCGAGGTAGACGAGACAGCTTTGCCATTTCAAGCCGGCAAGGACGGTGTCCGTAACGCGCTGGAAGGTTGCCGGCGCTGTGCACAGCCCAAACGGCCTTACTTTGAACTCATACAGTCCATCCGGCGTGACGAAGGCTGTCTTCTCACGATCTCGTTCGTCGACTTCAATCTGCCACTACCCGCTCTTCAAGTCCATTGAAGAAGAGTATCGGGCATTTCGCAGCCGGTCCAGGGTGTCGTCGATGCGTGGCAGCGGGTAGACGTCCTTTTTTGTTACGGCGTTCAGTCGGCGATAGTCCACGCAGAAACGACGAGTCCCGTCTTTCTTTTTCACCAGGACTACCGGTGAAGCCCACGGACTGCTTGAGGGCTGGACAATGTCGTCGTCGAGCATTTGTTGTACCTGCTGCTGGATGGCTTCCCGTTCTTTCACGGAGACCTTGTACGGCGGCCGATGCACAGGGAGTGAGTCGTCATCAGTAATTATCCGATGTTTCGCAACCTTCGTTTGGCGCACCTTCGACGACGCGGAGAAGCACTCACTGAACTCGGCGAGAAGGTCATGAAGTTGTCGTCGTTGTGGGGCTGGGAGGGACGGGTCGATGTCGAGCTGTGAGGACGTGATTGTCTTGTTCTGCGTCGGAGAGGCGTCTTCTGAGATCACAGCGATCGCGGCTGAGTCTTGAATTTCCTCGACGTAGCCCACAGCTGTATCCTTTGTAAGGTGCTGCGACTTTTGCCGGAAGTTGGTGACAAGGGCTGCGGTACGCCCGTCCTGGAGCTCGGTTACGCCTCTTGCAATGCCAATCCCTCGTCCGAGGAGAAGTTGGACGCTTCCTTCCAGCAGTGCTACACCGCAGGTGGCTCCTTCGGTCCCGACGGGCACAAAGACACTCGACAGCGGCGTCAGGTTTACGTTGTTGGCGAGGACTCGCACTGCAGCTAACGTCGGTTTGGGATTTTCCACCGATGGGACAGGCCTCCGAAGCGTCAGCTTGTTCTCCGCAAGGTCGATGATGGCGCCGTATTCACACAGAAAGTCCACTCCGAGAATGACGTCCCTC